CCTACCTGAAGGAGCCTGGTTCATGGCTCTCAACATGAAAGACGCTTACTTCCACATGGACATTCACCCAGCCCACCACAAGTTACTCCATTTTCAGGTAGGGCATCAGCATTACCAATTGTGGGTCCTCCCATGTGGCATAGCAGCAGTGCCAAGAGTGTTCACAAAAATCTTTGCCATAGTAGCAGCCCAGATGCGCTGCCTAGGCTACTCAGTATTCCCCTATCTTGACAACTGGCTCCTGGTCACACTATTGCAACAGGAAGCAACCTATGCAATCCTCTGTCTTTGCAATCTCCTGGGATCCCTAGATATCTGCGTCAATGAGGAAAAGTCAGTGTTGATACCTACATGATAATATATTTCATGGGGGGGTGGGGGCGACTTGACTCCAGCATGGTGAGGCTTTTCTCCCAGCAGACCGCTTCACAGCACTGACAGACCATGCACCACAGTCAACCACTGTCTCTCCCTCCTTGGTCATATGGCAGCCTGCCCTCACATGACACCACACATACATCTCCATGTGCATTGTCTTCAAGCTTGGCTCTTCTCCATCTGCAGACCCAACAGAGACCATATAGAGTCCCGGAGGACCATTCCCAGGGCCATGTTGTCCTCCCTCACATGATGGTCTGACCCCTTCAAGCTGTGTACCTACCAGGCACCAAGAATTCCTGGACCAACATGCTCAGCAGGACTCTGTACCTCAATCACGAGTGAGAGCTACCTGATGCCACACTCCTGTACCTCTTCATGAAGTGGGGCATTCCCCATTTTCTTTGCTACTCACGAGAACCAAAAGCTGCCCCTCTATTGCTCCAGAGGGAGGACTTTAGGGGAGGACTATCAGGGCAATGCTCTCCTCCTCCCCTTGACAGGCAACCTCCGCTACAACTTTCCCTCCATTCTCCTCCTGCCAGAGATGCTATACAAGGTTCACCAGGACAGAGCCACCATTATACTCATAGCCCCATTCTGGCCCTGTCAGTTCTGGTTCACGGACTTCCTCACACTGTCCGCCTGCACACCACTCCACCTCTGCACACTCCCAGGCACCAACTCCGTGGGTGCTCCAGGGCTGGAGCACCCATGGGGAAAAATTAGTGGGTGCTCTGCACCCACTGGAAGCCAACCCCCCCCCCCCCACCTGAGCGCGCTGTGTCTCCATTCCTCCGCCTACCTCCCAGCACTTCCCGCCCAGCCGCCACCAAACATCTGGAGGGGGCAGAGTTTGGGTGGGGCAGGGGTGAAAGGGGGCGGGGCCTATTGGGAGGGGTGGTGTGGGGCAGGTCTGGGGGCAGGGGGAGGTCAAGCACCACTGGCAGGAGCAGAAGTTGATGCCTATGCATGGGCCCATTGCCACCACCACCACTCACTGAGCATGGTATCTATTCCACTGGTCTTCGACTATCTCCTTGCCCTCAAGATGTCAGACCTGGCCCTCAACTCTATTAGAGTGCACCTGGGAGCACTCACTGCCTTTCTGCCTCCTATGGATAGCTCCTCAGTGTTTATGCATCCCACCACTATCAGCTTCATGAAAGATTTACTCAACACCTTTCCACCAATACTAAAGCCCACGCTGCCATGGGATCATAATCTCATTCTCTCTGCCCTCACAAAGCCACCCTTTGAGCAACATGCTCATTCTCCCACCTCTCGATGAAAGTGACTTTCTTGGTGGCCATTACCTCACCCACACGAGTCAGTGAAGTCACAGCTATGATGGCGGACTCCCCCTACACAATATTCCACAAGGACAAGGTGGTCTTACGGCTGCCCCCTAAATTCCTCCCAAAAGTGGTGTCTGAATTCCACCTAAATCGGTGCATACACCTGCCAGTTTTCCACCCCAAACCACACACCTCCCCTACTGAAAGAGCCTTGCACTCCCTTGATGTCTGACGTGCACTGGTGCTCTACCTCCCCAGGATTCAACCCTTTTGCATTTCCAAATTAGTCTTAGGTACATCTGTGAATGCTACAACTCAGGCTGTCAATTATTCACAGTTAACTCACGCGATTAACTCAAAAAATTTAATCATGATTAAAAAATTAATCATGATTAATTGCAGTTTTAATCGCACTGTTAAACAATAGAATACCAATTGAAATTTGTTAAATATTTTGGATGTTTGTCTACATTTTCATATATATATATATATATATATAAATGAGAGAGAGAGAGAGAGAGAGAGAGAGAGAGAGAGAGAGAGAATTCTGTGTTATAATTGAAATCAAAGTGAATATTATTTTAATTACAAATATTTGAACTGTAAAAATGATAAACAAAAGAAATAATATTTTTCAGGTCACCTCATACAAGTACTGTAGTGCAATCTCTTTCTCATGAAAGTGCAACTTACAAATGTAGATTTTTTTTGTTACATAACTTCACTCAAAAAACAAAACAATGTAAAACTTCAGAGCCTATAAGTCTACTCAGTCCTACTTCTTATTCAGCCAATCACTAAGACAAACAAGTTTGTTTACATTTACAGGAGATAATTCTGCCCTCTTCTTATTTATAATGTCACCAGAAAGTGAGAACAGGCATTTGCAAAGCACTTTTGTAGCCAGCACAGCAAGATATTTACGTGTCAGATATGCTAAACATTCATATGCCCCTTCATGCTTCAGCCACTATTCCAGAGGACATGCTTCCATGCTGATGATGCTTGTTAAAAAAAATAATGTGTTAATTAAATTTGTGACTGAACTCCTTGGGGGAGAATTGTATGACCCCTGCTCTGTTTTAACCGCATTCTGCCATATATTTCATGTTATAGCAGTCTCGGATGATGACCCAGCACATGTTGTTCATTTTAAGAACACGTTCACTGCAGATTTGACAAAAGGCAAAGAAGGTACCAATGTGAGATTTCTAAAGGTAACTACAGCACTCAACCTAAGGTTTAAGAATCTGAAGAACCTTTCAAAATCTGAGAGGGATCAGGTGTGGAGCATGCTTTCAGAAGTCTTAGAAGAGCAACACTTAGATGCGGAAACTACAGAACCCAACCCAACAAAAAGAAAATCAACCTTCTGCTGGTGGCATCTGACTCAGATGATGAAAATGAACATGCGTTGGTCTGCACTGCTTTGGATTGTTATCGAGCAGAACCCGTCATCCACATGGATGCATGTCCCCCGGAATGGTGGTTGAAGCATGAAGAGACATATTAATCTTTAGCGCATCTGGCACATAAATATTTTGCAACGCCAGCTTCAACAGTGCCATGAGAACATTTGTTCTCACTTTCAGGTGACATTAGAATCATAGTACAGAAAGGGACCTCGAGAAGTCATCTTGTCCAGTCTCCTGCACTTGTGAGAGGACTAAGTATTATCTAGACCATCCCTGACAGGTGTTTGTCTAACCTGCTCTTAAAAATCTCCAATGATGGAGATTCCACAACTTCCCTAGGCAATTTATTCCACTGCTTAACCACCTTGACAGTTAGGAAGTTTTTCCTAATGTTCAACCTAAACCTCCCTTGCTGCAGTTTAAGCAACATTGTAAACAAAAAGCGGGCAGCATTATGTCCTGCAAATGTAAACAAACTTGCTTGTCTGAGCAATTGGCTGAACAAGAAGTAGGACTGAGTGGACTAGCAAGCTCTAAAATTTTGCATTGTTTTATTTTTGAATGCAGTTTTTTTTGTGTACATAATTCTACATTTGTAAATTCAACTTTCATGATAAAGAGATTGCACTACAGTATTTGTATTAAGTGAACTGAAATATACTATTTCTTTTGTTTTTTTTACAGTGCAAATACTTGTAATAAAAAATAAATATAAAGTGAGCACTGTACACTTTGTATTCTGTGTTGTAATTGAAATCAATATATTTGAAAATGTAGAAAACATCCCAAAATATTTAAATAAATGGTATTCTATTATTGTTTACAGGGTGATTAATCACGATTCATTTTTTTAATCACTTGACAGCCCTAGCTACAACCAATCCAATATACCCACATCTGATAGAGTCATGGCACATGCTATGCAAGCACAGGCCGCCACATCGGCCTCAAGGGTGGACGTTTCCTGACAAGGCATCTCTCATGCAGCAACGTGGTGCTCCGTTCACCTGTTCATGACACACCATCCCAGCGCACAAGCAGCAGTAACACACATTCGATGGGACAGGCTGTACTGCAGACCGCACTTCCGTTGGAATCCTCGCACCCACCTCCGCACTGATCACTGCTCGTGAGTCACCCAAATGTGGAATACACTTAAGAGACCATCAGTCGAAGAAGAGAAGTTATCTACCTGTAACCAGAGGTTCTTCAAGATGTGTCGTCTCTGTCTGTATTCCACTACCTGCCCTCCATCCCCTTCGCTGAGGACTGCATTCCATTACAGTAAGAGAGAGACTGGAGAGGTGTTGATCTGTACCACCTCTGATATCCTGAGCTGGGAGCATGAGTAGACATACAACACACATGCGGGTCAACGGACACTGCTAAGAAACACTTCTGGATTCAGGCACAAGGCACACACGTGCACCCACGTGTGGAATATAGATAGGGATCTCACATCTCGAAGAACCTCCAGTTACAGGAGGTAACTTCCTCTTCTCTGTAGAAATAATTACTTGCCATTAAAGCAGTGCAAATCACATGGGAACTTTGCCTCAGTGACCAAAATTAATGCATATGAACACTATATATTTCCATGACAGGCTGGGATTCTCTCTCTCAATATACCGATAACATACCATACTAATATGTGTGTGTGTGTGTGTGTGTGTGTGTGTGTGTGTGTGTGTGTGAGAGAGAGAGAGAGAGAGAGAGAGTGTGTGATTATATATATTTTATAGACACACGCCTGTAGCTTAGAATGTAGGCTGGCTGCTTATCAAATTTTAGCCTAGCCATTTATTGATTTCCATTTTTTCCCCTCCTATTATAATGATATAAAAAATTTCAATGTTCTTTCCTTCAGACTGTGCATTAAATTGCAACAAAGCAATCAGAGTATGCTTACCTGCACAATGCTGCTCAGGTTTCCATTGGACTTTCACCCCTTCTCTCTGACAGGTTCGGGCATAGGCAAGGAATGACTCACAATAGCAGTTTTTATGAACTGGACACTCACACATATCTGTTACACAGGACCTGCAAAAAACAGCCCAGAAACAAACAAGGAAAAAAAGTTTTGAAAAACAGCCCTCAAGGTTTGGAATTATTTTTTATATAATCATATACAGTTTAAAGCTGCAAAAACCTGTGCTGGAGAAATGGCAAACAGGTTGAACACTTTTTACTCCCAAATCCACATAGAGGGTCTAATCTCTGCAGTTCTGCTATACTCTATTCTATATGCTCAGAGCTCCCAATTACATCAATGGGAGAGTCATATCAAAGTAGATAGCCCAGAACATGAGAGTCAAGAGCTGCCATGCAATGAGGATCCAAGGCTGTACGCTGCAATTAGGGAGCAAGGCAAAGACAATTTGTAGCAAAGACAATTTTGTCTTCATAAAGGCTCCATCTCAGCTCTCCTGAATAATGTCTATTGCAACAACATTTAAGATTAATTCCCAGATTTAAGAGCATTATAAGGAGCAATGAAGACACACACAGTTACTATGCTATGAAGCCCTCAGGGTTCATGAAACAACTAGAGCACAGCAAAAATTTTCAGTTGAATAGTAAAATCACTAAAAAATGCAATTACAGGATGACAAAAGCTATTAATTAATTTGGCTCAAATTTGGCAAATACTTTTGGCCAGATAAATTAAAATTAAAATTTTGAAAATGTTAAAATATTTCATTTTGACATTTTTTATTTTTCATTTTGAAATGTTTTGTTTTGAAATTTAGCTAGAGTTGGTTTTAAAGAGATTTACATGTACAAATACCTCAAAAATGTAACAGCTAGAAACCTGAAAAAAAAATTTTTGTTTCAGTGAGAAAAACTGAAAAATATTAGTTTTGGCTTGAAACAAATCAATTTTTTTTCTGCATTTTTCAGGTCGATCACCAAATCAAAACAAAACATGAAAAAAAACAAAACCCCAAAACCAAAAGCCACAAAACTCCCTAAGAACCAATTATTCATTCAGCTCTCAATTCAACCATCTTATTTCACTGAATAATCATAAACCATTGGAGTAAGTAAATCTGCTACTGCACATGTCTGTATACAAAATTAGCTCATCTAGAACATGTGTCAATTAGGCACAGGCTGAAAATACAAGAACTGATAAGAGGCAATGGATTTGCAAAGTTTGCCATTTGTGTATGCTTTATATTGTTGCAGTGTGCTGGAAACGTTAAGGGACTGATTTTCAGAGGTGCTGGGCACCCATAACTCTAAGTGAAGTCAGTGGGAGCCCGTGGCAGTGCTCAGCTATCTAAAAATCATTTCCCAATTTAGTATTCAGGTTCATCCCCTATTTCGTTCACTAGGATTAAAGCTATGTTTTAGTCACGGGTATTTTTAGTAAAAGTCATGGACAGGTCACAGGCTGCAAACAAAAATTCACAGGCCTGTGACCTCTCCATGAGTTTTATTAAAAATACCCACCATGTCTAAAACTTGGGCAGGGGTGCTCGGGAAGGGAGGAGGAGTCCAGGGGTGCCACGGGTGCTGGGGGAGGTGACCTGGGACCCCCGCTGGTACTGGGGGAGAGGTTGGCGGGGCTTACTACCAGCTCTGTCCCTGCAGCTCATAGACGGCGGAGGCAGGGGCCAGGACAGGGGCTCCTCTGCTGCTCCCGCCATAAGCGCCAGCTGCTGCAGCTCCCATTGGCGGGGAACCACAGCCAATGAGAGCTGCAGGGGCAGGGCCTGCAGGAGCTTCAGGGTGGCCCCCCCACCCCAGGTAAGCACCCACACACACACCCCAAACCCTTTCCCCTATCCCTGAGACCCCTCCCACACACCCAAACTGCTGCTTCTGGCAGCCCCTGGGCCAGCACCAGCTACTGCAAAAGTCATGGAGGTCACGGAAAGTCACAGAATCCGTGACTTCCGTGACAGACTCGCTGCCCTATGTATGATTCACTGAACAAGTTCCCCTTGATGAGTATCGTCCTACCACAGCATGCCCGCAAATCTTCATTGACATCCCAAAGCAGTGCTCTGAATGCATCAGGCACTGTTACTGAACATAAGTGGTTCCATCTTCCCCATATCATTTAGGAGGTATATCTCAAGGCTTGCCAACTTTCTAATGTCCGAAAACCAGACACCACAGCAGGAGCACAGGAACCTCCCTCTGTCCCTGCCTCGCCTCTTTCCCTGAGGCCCCGCCCCCACCCACTCCTCTCTCCCCATCCCTGGCTGCTTCCCTCTCCCCCTTCCTTGTCACTCGATCCTCTCCACCTTCCTCCCCTCCCTCACCAGCTGGGCTCCCTCTGCTCCAGGGCTGGGTCAGGAGATGCAGCCCCTGATGCAGAGCCTGCCTGCTCACAAGATGGAGGTTGGAGGTGGCCCTGGCTGAGCAGGGGCTGTTGCGGGATGATGACCCTGCACCTCTCCCCCACCCACAGTAACCAGACTTTTGTATCTCGTCAGTACATCTGACTGGAGCTGCACAGGTCCCCTTTCGACCAGACTTTCCAGTTGAAAACCAGACATGTGGCAACCAATATATCTCATTTCACAAAGCAGATTCCTGATGTGCTATCACAGGAAATTACTGTTGCAAAGAGAGTCTGTTGTATTTCCTGAAGACCTGTTAAGATATCAAGATAGTTTTATTCTCTCCTAGGCATCCTGTTATCCTCAACTAACCTTGCCTTATCAGCTTTTACTATTATGTATAATTCTTCATACAATAATTATTATATTATTGATATCCAAGGTGTTGGGGAGTGGGGAAGGTAGGATCATGCTTGCTTATGGCAGGCTGGCTGTGTGCATGCTGAGTTTCCACTTCGGGACTTATAAAACGTTACATTTGAGTCACTTCATCTGGTTTTGAGAACACAAAAATCACAGAGCTTCCTGCTGTGAGAGTTTCTGGCCACAGGGAAGAATGCCAGTTCCAACACCAAACCAGATCAGTTGCCTTAAGTTTAAGGTAAGTCTCCATGCACAAAACAATGCGTCTAGATGAGCCAAACCCACAACTCCAGTTTCAAACACCCATAGACTTTGGACTAGTTTGGATCCAGATCCAAACAGCTCTAGTTCTTAGCCACTCCTTTCTGCCTGGATAAGCATCAAGGCTGGTATGGGTAACATTAAATATTCCCTAAGAAAGATAACATATTAGTGTCAGAATGAACAGTTCTCTAATTTACTCCACTCTTATTGGCTTCAAGTTATTTCTATTTCTGTGAGTTGTATAAACCTGGGAAGAGCTGATGGGCCCAATCCTCTGGTTTGGCTGAGGTGCAATCACAAGGGGTATGTGTGTTGTTTTTGCTTTGTTAATTAATTATCACTGCTGATCATTTTTGTACTTATTTAACAAAACTAAAAGTAAACAAAACTGTATAAAAGTTAATATTCGTCCATCATCAAAATAGAGATATTTTTTCTAATGAGATTCTTTAGTAACAAAAGTAATAAATTAATATTGAAATTGTTTGTTTAAAAAAATCACTTCTGAAGCTACAACGGAGAAAGTATTTGACCTATTAGATAGCAAAATACAGTCACTACTTCCCTCTCGTGGTCCAAGCTGGGAACTCCAGGCAATCCCTTCATGTGATTGAAAGGGCAGCTTTTTGGGAGAACTTCAGGCAAAAGATGCTTTTTCTCTGAAGCCCGAACGATTGAGAGAAAATAGGGTAAATACTCTGGGTCAGTTTTAAAAAAAATATTTTTCTTATATGTCAGTAAAATTCTTAATTTCAATCTTATTAGATTTCCATTGGGAGTTTGTGTTTTTGTTTGGTTTGTTTTAGTTATTGAAACTTCCTCTGCCAAACAAGCAGCATGCCTCTTACTCCCTGCCCAGAAAACAAACAAACCATAGATTCTTGAATGCAATTTACAAGTTCTAACGCTGATCTGTGTCAAAAAAAAAAATCTTTGTGATGTAGACACTGATTTTTGTTTTCTTCTTTCAATTTTGTTGCTGAGCCATGTCCTGCACTCCAGGGAATGATTTCAAAGTTCCGCTCACCTCCCCCATCCCCTCTTTGCATCTCCTCTGATTCTATCGAATAAATTAGGAGACACTAATAAACAGATAGCTATAGGGATGTATCTGGAGGCTTAGGGAGTGTCCGTGCCCTACAACTGAAGCCCAGTTTCACCCAGAGAAACACCATTTTCTTATGACAGTATATTCTCTAATAATGAAACATTTTGACTTTGCTGTCCTCTGAAGTGTTCCAATTCTATTCCAAGGTGAAAACTTTTGTTTAATTAGACTTAAGACTGAGTGTATACAGGAAGAGTCCAAGACATTTTGCCAACCAGAGCAGAAAACCTTTTTGGTGTCCCTCCCCTATTCCAGTAGAGCAACCAAGTCTAAATAAATAAATTAAAGGCGGCCAATCAATCAGTGGAGCAAAAGCCACACACCACACACCCAAGTGGCACAGCAATATAGCTAGAAGTTGGCACCCAGGCTGATGGCCATGATTGCCTGCCCCTAGACCAGCCCTGAGAGTACACATCAGTAACCTAAGATAAAAACATTACAGACGTATTGTAACATTCCCATAACCAAGCCCAGGAAATTCAGAGTTAAGGTTACACTTAAAAAAAAATCCAAATGTGTTAGGTAAGGAAGTGCAGTAAGGCAACCAAAACAGCCTTAATTTTGCGCTGTAGTGACACCATGCAATAAAAATATGATTATGATAAAGGCATTTTAGTATTTGTGGTCCTAAATTAGATTAAACTGATTTTAAAGACACATTAGGGTTTTAAATATATATCTTCCCTTTCCCCCCACCCCACCTCCCCAGTTTCACCACCTTTAGCAGTACGACAAAATCCTACACAAGGATCAAAAACTACACAACATGGGGGTTAGAAAACAGCTCCCTGATGACACTACAAGGTGGTTCAGGGGCACACACTGGTTGAAAGAATCATAGAATCATAGAATCATAGAATATAAGGGTTGGAAGGGACCCCAGAAGGTCATCTAGTCCAACCCCTGCTCAAAGCAGGACCAATTCCCAGTTAAATCATCCCAGCCAG